AAATTTTGAAATCAACAAATAGGGTTATAGAATCATACCTTGATTAGTATGTAGTAATAGCAATCTTAATCCAAGCTTGAAAACCTTTGGTAGCAAGCGCCACAAGTGTCGTGCCTCTAATGGCTTACACCCAAACCCTAGCAACCAAGGAAACTATATATATATATATATATATATATATATATATATATATATATATATAATATATATATATATATATATATATATATATATATAGAGAGAGAGAGAGAGAGAGAGAGGAGAGAAGAAGAGAATTTCGGCCCTAAGCCTCTTGGAATTGTAAGTCACAAAATTCTAAACACTAATGTGTTTATATAGGAGTCTAGGAATGTGTTGGATAAGACAGGTATCACCAAGATAACCCTAATCTTTTAGCATCCTCCCTAAGGCATCTAAGGCACCCTTAAAGCCCATGGAAACCCTAGAAAGCATCTAGAATTCATCCACCACTTATGGGAGGTTCTAGAACTCCTCAATGCTCAATTATTGAATATTGTCACCTTTAGTCCTCCTACTTTTAATTAATCTAATTAATCCCAAAATTAATCTAATTAATTTCTGATTAATTATTAATTAAATAATATTATTTATGATTAATATATTATTTTCATAATACACTAATAAATCATTCATTTTGATTTCTAATTAATTTACTAACCAAATAATAAATTAATAAATCAATCTTCTTTCTCTAAAAGTCATCCTATTCAATTGACAAGTTTGTGGGCAACCCAAAAGGACTGTGCTACTATCAATTCAAGTTTATACCAATTATAGTTAATAGCTTAGACACCTAATCCAATAGTCTCCCACTTGGATAAGTCTAATAACTATAATTGCCCGTATAATTATCGAATTTACTAGCAAATTGTAGCTACCAAAATTCGCTGTCGAATTTTGACCGAGTCAATTGCGTGTCCTAAGATAAGTGGTCAAATATTCCTTCGTTCTACAAGATATTGTATAGACATGTGACATGGATTATAATCAATCTCATTGTCCAAGTTTTGTTTCCCGATTTCTGATTTACGACGACTGAAATCAGACTACTAATTGAACACATCAATTCAATCCAGGCTTGGACAAACACTTTAGATGTCATCATCAAATCATGACAGTGTTAATTCACTACTTACTTCCAAAAGTACGAGCGACTGTGGATGTTTGAATAATCCAATAATTCAGGAAGTGAAACATGTGAAGTGAAGCACAATAATAACCTAATTAATTATGGTCTCAAAACTATTGAATATAAATAAAACCCTTATTATTTAATCACCATATTAATTAGACTTTATTCATTCTATAATGTTTCAAGTAATCAACTAAACAATTGAATTAAACATCAGTCATGCCATGTTATAAACATACATATTATGTCTCTTTATGGTACTTCCTTTGTGAACAAATCGATTAGATACTAATCCAATGATGCTCATTTCATAATTTCAAATTCTTGTAACTACTAAATGTGTTAGAGTTCAACCTTACATGCAATATCCCTTGTGTGATGTAGAGGCTTCAAAGTCACATATACTTTGCTAATGATATTACAAAATGTTCCATTAAAACTTTGTTACTTAAAACAATTCCATGGAAATGAAGTCTCAAATTCAAGGTACACACCTTGAACACCTTCCTTGCATTAAAGTTTCCAACTCACATGCAAATTTTAACAAACAACTTCTACTATGGAAATATTTTCATATCCCTATATGACCATATATTCTGGATAAGAATCACCTCTACCCAGAATTATGTCAATATGGTCTGTCCATTATAATACTATACTTCCAACTGTCCACAAGCAACCAATCTTTAGTAAACCTCAGACTGTTCTTCACAGTTGTTTAACAACTTTAGTCACACAAAGTTCTAGTCCTTTTTCCCTCTTAATGTTCATGACATATGAAAAATCAGAACAAGTGAATATTATAGCATATTTAATCAATCCTATATCCGAAGCATATGAGATTCGATTCATTATGTCTTACATAAAGACTATAATATTTCTATATATTGAATTTCCTATGTTGTTATATATATATATATATATATATATATATATATATATATATATATATATATATATATATATATAAGACTAAGTTCCATTAAAAACTTCAATCTAAACTTTTAGAATTGAAACGAAGTATGAATTCCCTCTCCCCAAAATCTTTCTGTAGCGAAACAATTCCCAAACTTTACAATTTGCAAATTTGAAATCTTTGTTTCCTACAATTAGTATTGCCAACCTGCAATACATAGCATAACAATTATGTTCCTATTAGCATAACAATTATGCTCCCACTAGTTTTGACATGTATCCAGAAATCAATTGGACTTCTAGAAATCAACATTATTGACTTTCTTACTAAAGTACATATTTACTTCCAGAAATCAACTGGACTTCTAGAAATCAACATTATTGACTTTCTTGACATTTGTTTAACAATTATAGTCCTTCTTAATGTGTTTAGCTTAAACCCTTGTTCTCTAGGATAGATCTTTTTCCAGAATCCTTATTACTCCACCCAAAGCATGAAAACCTAGATCTAGGTCTGAAACACCCAATGAACACGTAAAGTCTCGGACTTTACTTCCATGCATGACCCTTTTGGGCTTAAAGCACGGATAGTATGCAACCAAACGGAAAACATACATCGGATCTAGAAGGACTCTATCCTATAGAATACCTAAATAACTTATCATTTACAGGGATACCACCTCATACACTTGAGTTGAAAATAAACACGCCCATAATGCTACTGAGAAACATCAATCAACGAGAAGGTTTATGTAATGGCACCCGTCTTATTATATCACAGCTCTTACCGACTGTTATTGAAGCAACCATAATAACGGGAACATGCATTGGACGGAGGGTTTACATTCCTCGCATAAAATTCATCCACAGGCCATCAGATCTACCCATTACATTTTCAAGAAAACAGTTTCCAATTAAATTATGCTATGCTATGACCATTAATAAAAGTCAAGGACAATCACTAAAAAAAATTGAATTTATCTATCACAGCCAGTTTTTTCACACGGACAATTATATGTAGCATTGTCCAGGGCTACTTCTCCTACTTCGTTAAAGATTATCATAGAAACAAATGAAAATGACAGACACGATCAAACAAAGAATGTCGTATATAAAGATCTATTACGCAAGGTCACTCCAAAAGAGGTCCATCGTATCATTACCATATACCCATTTCGTACACATACTCATACTATCTATATTACCATACTTGAAACCGTTAATGAATATTTATACATATTACATATATGTTTTTTTTATATTACTGGATTTCATACTTTTTATCCCGCTATAACATTTACCTACAGTCAACAATTACTTACATGCTTTTAGTCTTATCAGAATCGAAGTACAGACCATGGTTACCATATCTGACCTAAAATGCGATGGTGTTGGAGCCCCTATACAGGTTAGAATCCTTCACAAATGGAAACATGATGTTTGTCGGTATGAAACCTGGTACCTAGCTGTTGACAGATTTGTAAGCTTATTATAGACAACATTCATTTCTGATGTACATATAACACATACCATTTTGAAAGATTCATATATATATATATATATATATATATATATATATATATATATATATATATATATATATATATATATATATATATATATATATACATATACATATATGCTACAGGGTGATGCTATACAGATCCTTGGACAACGAACCAATCAAGCTTACATAGAATCCATACTGAATGTTTCTAATTGTTACACTATATCTGAGTACAGTTGTCCTGAATTGGATAGACATCAAAAAGTGCTAGAAAATACTTTCTATATCGATGTTGGTCTCAGCTCCATTATCAGTCCACTTCCAGATATAGTGACCATACCAACTACTTGGTTTCACTTTGTTTCCAAACCACAATTGATAGATCTTGGAGAAACTCCACCGTATTTTCCAGGTAACAACATAATCTGATTGTAATTTTTTGTGGTTACATCAATCAAGTATTTATAAAATTACGATTTTAGACTTCATTAGGGTGCTATCAAAGATCAGAGATTGTACAAAACAAGATGGCCAGTCCTTATCCTTCTTATTCTTATGGATGACAGGTATTACTTACAATATTCAACAATCATTTAGAACATGTTTTTTTTTTATACTAACAACATTATGTTAAAAAAAATTACAGCGGTAACGAAATCGCAATCAACCTATGGAAAGAATGCATTACCGTTCCAACAAAATTCGATCGCAGCCTACTTATTCCACTCCCCGCTATCACAGTGGTAGTTGTCACAAATCTTAAACCCTCCGTTTCGGCCGGTATGATACATTTACTAAACAAAAAAATATACATAATATCATATTCATTAACCCCTATATTTAAACCTATCCTTACAGGAATGCTACGTCATGGATCATCACATGCGACTCATATATATGTGAATCCACAAATCCAAGAAACTACATCCCTTATAAACCTGTAAACTCTACATGCTATATATATCTCTTAAAAACCCATTACCCAAAATTAATACTTATAATTATTTCAATGTCACATCAGTTTTAGTGGTCCTATGCGTCCACAGTCAGCACCTTCGGGAATACCAACAACCTTGAAAGACATCAAATTGAAAATGCGGTCGGAACTACTGGTAAACGATCTCCTACATAACTCACATTTGTTAGATACATATTATAATATATCGACTTATAATTGCATATCAATAGGACAAAACATTTATGGTGAAAAGCATCCATCACAGAGTTTGTATTCCAAGACAATTGGTGTCAGATAACATGTCCGACATGCAGAGATCCAATATTTAAAAGAGGTCCACATTGGTTTTGCAGTGCACACGCAACCATTGAAAAATCATCACTAACGTAAGTACCTTTCTCCATTAATACAAAACATACATATCTTAGCAAACATGCTAACAGTCAACTTCCATATGCAATCATAGATTTAGTGTGATGATAACAGACACAACTGACACTTTACAAGCCATCGTATCTGACACCTCATCTCGGAAACTGCTAAATGCCAATCTCGAAACCTCTCTCTCCGAAAACACTTCCATTAATAGAAAAGTATTACCAACAACTATCACCAAACAGAAAGGAGAAATTAAAATATGTCCATCCAGATGCTCAGAACATCCACTTCAGAAAATTTACGTTTCATAATAATCGATCTTGAACCATCAAAAACCGTCCCGCAGACAACGATTCCAGCAACCCCTTCCGGGATTCCACCGACAAGGTCCACATCACTACATACCCCACCGGACACACCGATATCAACAACACATGCTGCACGGAATCTGTCATTTACTACAAATGGTATGTTTCATATGTTAATATACACATCTGTAAAGCCAGATCCATTTTTACAACATCGCTTCTTTAATCTATCATAGATGACGCACCCCCATCCGGAGATGCAAAACGCAACCGAAAGAGATGAAGCACCAAATTCAGGCTCTTTCACTCATGTTTGCTTCCTTTTGTTGTTTTTCTTAGCTATCATCATGTACAACTTTTTTTACTTTTGAACCATCTATGAACACAAGTATGTACAGTTTTAAATACAATAAAAACGGACAATGCACTTGTGAAAAACAATTATGTTTACCAATTCAACATATATAAATCGAAAAAATTATGCTCCCATATCTAATTCAAAACACTAATGCTATATAACAGTTTTCACATTTGAAGTATCTATGACTGCAACAATCTATAGTTTTTATACAAATAAAAAAATACCGAATAACACGGTTGTATTTAAAAAATTTATCTTCACATTTGAAGTATCTATGACTGCAACAATCTATAGTTTTTATACAAATAAAAAAATATCGAATAACATGGTTGTATTTAAAATTTTTATCATAAACAAAAAATTATAAACGGCCAAATTGTGTACGAGAATTTTACACTAAACCAAAAGAACCACTTTCTGATAAAAACCATATCCTAAAACTATAAAGATTCAAATCTGAATATTTTAAACACACATATAAATAAATAACCAAAAAAAATTTACTTCTCCAATACAATATTTAGATAGAATAATTTTTTTTTTCCAATTATCTATATCGCAAATATTTGTTCCATCGGCCTGCCCACAAAGGCCTCCAAATTACGGCCTATATGATATAAATCGCATTATACATAGTAGTGAATTCAAGAGTTGGGCTTATATAAATCAACCTCCAACAACAATCAAATTTTATAAAAGCCCATCACATGAATGTAACTAAAATCTAACAACGTGGAGCTCTTTGTTAGCCACACAATGCTCTTTGTTAGCCACACAATGATCTATACTCTAACACAATATCTTTAAAATCAAATGTTGACCATTGTTGCAAACATTTATTCCACCCATCGAACATAAAGCAACAAAAAAGAAAAAAAATTAAAGACAACACACTATTCCTATCTACCACTTCACTGTCATCAATACACATACACAGTTTCAATAACTCTAGCCGCCTTTACATCACTTCCGAAATCATGAATCATTTAAGTTGAAGAACTAAATCGTCATCACCATTAATACACAATCTATAAATCTACTAACCCCATCACCATTCCATGTCCCATCTACTCATACTATCAGTGCAAAGAAAACCAGTGAGCTTGAAAATATGAAACCTGCAGAAATGAAAAAGATCATCCAACTCCTCATCCTTCATGCGGAAGAAGAAAAAACAACATTGGCAAACGTGGAGAATGACTACTTCTTACACGAATAGCTCAGGAAAGAAATAATGGAGAAAGTGAGCTGTCGTCCCAAGTATGCAAACTATCTTCAGATGAAAGCCGTTCTCGCCACCAGCATACACGACGGAGCAAAAGCAATCCAAACCATCTACAGCTTGAAGAGAGAGACTGAGTCGATCATTGAGAAGATGAAAATAGAGATGAAAAAGATTCCAGAAGACGATCAGCCATACATGGACTAACGGACCACGCCAAAACAACCACCTCTTTTGCTCTTTTGCACAACGTCAGGTCTTTTGATTATCATCATCCTTTTATTTCCAAAAATGTAAACATGTTTAACAAATATATGGCGTGGTTGACCGTTCTGTTGACTATATATTATTCTAATTGTTAACACAAATATCCACACACATCCATATATTACCGACATATCGAATAAACAAAATATATAACACTTCTTTTAAGGCTATGCACCAAAAAAAACAGAAAGATAAACTAAACACGCCACGATCTACCCAAATAGATAGGCCATCATATACCAATCTAAGATTCCATAAATCTATAAAAAAAAAAATTTAAATTATCTCATACCCATACATTTCCTATATAAAGCATCACTTTCTTTAACTTACCAGCAAACAAAAGATGGAAAACATTATCACACAATTAATAGAGCAGGCAAACACCATGAAGAACAACATCGCTATGGTACAAACAACCTACGCCACCATCTCTACCATAAGACAAAACCTTCTGAAAGAATCACCACCGTTTCTACAATACGCTTACTACGTCATCACCACCGAACTCATTAAAGATATCGATAAAGAAATGGCTATGATGATGGAATCTTTCGAAGCGATGCATGAAACATTCAACATCGTCATAGAAGCGTATTCCAAGATCCTGAAAGATCTTCCCCACATATAAAATCTACAAAACAGCGAATGTCCATTTCTCACCGATATCAACAATGTAATCTTCTATATGCTTCCATTAACGCTGCTAATATCCGTATTTTGGTAATATCGACTATGTAATGTTGAATTTTCATATGTTACTAAACATATGTTCAACGGTAAATTAGTGTTATGCGATGTTTAATGTTTCATACGTTGAACATATAAATATCCGTATTTTCGTAATATCAACTATGTGATGTAAATTAGTGTTTAATGTAATGTTTAATGTTTCATACGTTGAACATATGTACAACAATAAATTAATATTTAATATTTCATATGTTTCAGTTACGTAGTGTTTCATATGTTTCTACTAACATTACGCGCTTCAAATATCAAAACAAACATATCTGACCCCGCGAAGCGGGGTGACTCAACTAGTTTTTCTTAAATATATATTGTAAATGAAATTGAAAATTTAGGTAGGTCCTAGGACCTACCTTTAGACATACTAGATACGCACTTGATTAAAATCGTAAAGGTAATATCTATAACAACCTTCTCGTCTTCAATATCACCAAAAATATTTTCAGTTGTATTATTTTTATTCATCACTTCATCTTGTACAACCTACATTTTCAAATATAAAATATGAACACAAATATTTATATATGTTAATAAAATTAAAAAAAATAATGTAGCGTGTAACTAACATGTTCATCATATTTTCCTTGGAATACTACAGGCTCTTTAAAACTTATTATGTCCTTCCAAAAATCTTCATTATTCACTTCTTCAACAAAAATCTCTGTAGGTTGTCGGTTCATAAACACATGCTGCTCCAGTGCATGTAGCCATTTCAACACCTCGTCTAGGTTGTGTTTCCCACTGCCCCTACCTCTACCATGAGAGCGACCACTGGACAACATACTAGACGAAGATTCGTCTTGTCTCCTAAAATGGTCCTGTACTGGGGATGGAACTGATTTCCGTTCACCATATACATACTCTTGAAATGACATATAATAACAAGATGTCATCTCACCATCACTCGGTAACATGTTTTATCTTGGTGGTTGTCCCTCCTAAAAAATTAAACATATTAAAAATGCATATAAAAGTATAATAATGAAGTTTATTTATAATAAAAAAATATTTATAAACCTGTATCTTTGAAAAAATCTTGTTCACGTCAACCCATTTAAATTTTTTTGTCCCACTCCATCGTTTCATCCGAGGCATGTCTCTATTTTTTCTCAATACAAATCCACATGCACGGAGAGCCGGAAGTATCTCATATATCCATATCTACAATTTTTTACAATTACAGTAATAAAAGTTAAAATAAAAATAAAAAACATAACAATAAAACAATTAAAATATAAGAAAATTTTTATACCCTTATTAGACCCGTAAATCCTGAGACGGAGTATTTTAAAGTTTGACGACGCTCAGGAAGTGATAAATATTTATTTATGTATCCTTAAGGTCATCATAAGTAAAATCCCAAAGATAGCTACCCCAAGCGAAACTAACAAAACAAAACAAAAATAGTTATAATATAAATTATAACTTTTATAAAATAAAACTTTTAACGTAAACAAAATATACCTGTTCCAGACATCCAAATTCTCAGCAAAAAAAAAAAAAAAAAAGAAAACCAATCTTGTGGCACCCGATCATTTATTTCTTTTCCCAAAAAACCTTCACACAAAATGTATATCAAACATACTCTGACTGCATCGGCGTCGTCAACTTCTAAGAATGTTTGATTTAAAATTAAACTTTTCAGGTCGCCGATTTTCACCGAACTATTTGTATGGTTCGGAAATAGCCGCTCACACAATAAACATCTTTTTTTTACTAGTTACTATTTTTTCCGACACTTTTTTCCCAATGTTTTTTGGATACTCCCCAAAATTGAAGCCGGTTATCAAACAAAACTCTTCCGACCCATATACCATTTTCGTATTGTCTACTCTAAAATATAAGCGTTTTATTCCATCTGGAGATAAAACAGGGTCCGGTCGGATCTGATGAAGGAACATTTTATGAAACAACAATCCGTCCCCTTGTAAACGAGGGACTTCCAACAAATAACCAAATACGGTATCTTTAAAAATGTCACGCCTGACACCATCTAAAACTTCAAATATTTCTTATATATTACAGCCCGAGCCTTTTAAGTTTATAATTGCTTTCACATTTAAATAACTAAAATCATGCTGCAAAAAACACAAAAACATATTAGAGAACTAAACAAATATTTTGTTTTTAAAATATATGATTATTAAGTGCAATAAAAAACAATAATATACACATAGTATAACAATTTTTCAACTTAAACAACAAATATATAAACAATTTTTCAAGTTATACGACAAATATATTTACGATAAAAAACAATAACATACACAAATAACCAAATAACATTTTGTTAAACGATTTTTCAACTTAAATGACAAACATATAAACAATTTTAAACTTTCTAATTATATAAAATAACATTTTCTAACAATTTTGCAAACAATTTTTGCAAGTTATACAACAAATATATACAATTTTGCAAATAAAATGACAACCAAATTAACAATTTTGCAAGTTATACGACAAATATATACAAATTTTCAAATTAGACGACAAATACAAACAATTTCTAACAATACTATAAAAAAAATTATACTTTAAAAACAAATATATATAAATTTTCTACTTATACAACAAATATATATATATATATATATATATATATATATATATATATATATATATATATATATATATATATATATAAACGACTATTATGCACATAATGTAATTTAATTATTTTTCAATTTATAGAAACAATTACACGATAAGAATATATAAATTTTCAACTTATACAACAACTAAACAAACGACAAATAACATATTGTAAACATTATTCTAACAATTTATTTAACTAATAACTTAAAAAAATTAGCATAATTTAACCATTTTACTAAATCTACAATCACCCGATGCACACTTTACGCAATCTTTACTTGTACATTCAAACAACCACTAATAAAATAGCATTTAAACTTCAAGTATACTAATAACAATTATTAAAACTATCAAATACAACTAAATTACCCTTTCACAAACATTATAATTTTTATTTTTTTACACTGACTAATACAATAAATAATAAAATAAAAAAGAGTTAAAACATTTAAAGAGTTAAAATCTAACCATATTTGCGGGATTGTTGAAATAATCCTGTTCTTCAAAAAACCGCCAAAATTGCGAAAATCGCCCCGAGAGAGAGAGAGAGAGAGAGAGAGAGTTTCTGTAATGAAGAGTGAAAAATGAAGAAAAAAAACTTATATAGGAATTTCGGGATGAAATCGCAGGTGGAATAGCCCAAATCGCAGATGAACTTTTCCATCTGCGAATGTACAAGCAGCTAAGCACAATTGTGCTTTAGCTGCTTGTACATTCGAAAGCCCAAATCGCAGATGGGGCTATTCCATCTGCGAAATTGGGGGCTATTTTTGCAATTTCGATTTTTTTTGGTTATTTTTGTAATGTAATTAGTATAAATGGTTATTTTTGTCAGTTTCTCTTATAAAAATTTACAACCTTTCCTTTTGCCGTTGATCGCTTTAAATTCCGACGCTTTGTATTGGTTCCTTGGTTCCTTAAAGAATAATGGTTCTCTACTAAACTTTTATATATATATATATATATATATATATATATATATATATATATATATATATATATATATATATATATATATATATATATATATATTGTAAAACTTGTTATTGCGTTAAAAATAATATGTTTTATAAAAAAAAAAAAAAAGTAAATATTGAAGATGCGCTTAGATTGTAGAGCAATTTAGAATAGAGTAACAGGGATAGGTGTTAGCAAGTTAGGTATTGGCCAAATGTCATAATGATTAAAATTATCTAGGGATGCCACATTTTGTCAATATGATAATGTATTTACCTGTAAATTAATTCAAACTTTCCTTTTCATATCAAAACTAGTATATTCGTATTTTTTTATTCTAATCAATTATCCTTTTCAATTTTAAATAGTATATTTGTATTAAAAAATAATAATTTATTTATTACGCATAGCATCAATTTGTCTCTATTATATCATTTTCATAAATTCACAAGTTCTAAAAATAAATGAAAATCCAAGTTTAAGCTTTTATCTAGACTGAAAATGATCCTTCTACTGCTTTGATTAAGTAAATCTTAATACATATAACATATACCAAAATAATATACTATGGTATAAACTTTCATATTATAATTTACATTAATAATTTTATACAAGTTTAGAACACACAAAGAGAG